CACGACCTGACGTTAACGAACACCCGGTTTGCACTGAGTGCGAATGATATAGTAACTTGGACACAACCACGGAGTAGTCACGCTCACCTGCCCGACTATGTTATCGTACGAAAGCGTGACATGCGTGAAGTATGCACGACACGTGTACTGCGTGGAGCTGAGTGTGGCACTGACCACAAATTGGTGCGGACAAAACTGTACATATATTTTCGTAAAACTAGATATTGCACTCCTGCCGTGAATCCTCGTAAAGTTAACATTCTCTCCCTCGGTACTGGCGAAACGTATTGAGCTGGATAAAGCGATAGCTGCACGCCTGTGTGATGTGGAATGCATAGTCACGGTGGGCGACCTGTGGCACCACACTCGCGATCAGGTGACAACTGCTGCCAATGAGATCAACGGGTGCGCGAACTGCAAGCGGCCTGATTGGTTTGATGAGAACAACGCCACGATTGGCGCATTGGTGGCAGACATTAATGACTTGGGGAAGAAGAGAAAGGTTTGGCGAATTCAACGACGACTGACGCGAGTGTTGTCGCATTAAAAATGCATGGTGGACGGAGAAGGCGAAGCAGATGCAATGCTACGCTGAACGCCGCTAACACAAGGAATTCTTTGACTCCTTGAAGGCAGTGTGTGGACCGAGGTTGGAGCCGCTGAGGACGCTGGTCGATGGTAACTCAGGCGCTACCTGCACACAGACTGCAGACATAATGTAGATTTGGCGGAAACACTCAATGTTTCTGGAACAACCGTTCAAAGATCGACTTACTTTGAACGGCCTGAAGCAGCACGATGTGAAGGCGAGTCTGGCGAACACGCCGACACTGGATGAGACGCAGAGAGCGCTCGCTTAGCTGCGAAACGGCAAGTGTACCGGTGCCAACGGGATCCCGCCTGAAGCATTGAAACACGACGGACCGGCGTTGGTGACTGCGCTGCACCACTTGTTGCAACGCGTGTGGATTAAGGAGGAGGTGCCTCCTGAGCTGAAGGATGCCCTTGTGCTACCACTGTTCAAGGGCAAAGGGAGTAAGCAATGTTGCACGAATTATCATGGTATCAACTTGCTGTTGTGTAGGCAAGGTGATTGCCCGAATCCTGCTCAACCGCCTCGTCAGTCAGGTTGTGGAACCTAACGTGGCGGAAGAGCAGTGCGGATTCCGTCCGGGTCGCAGCACCATCGATATGGTGTTTGCGGCTCGTCAGTTGCAGGAGAAGTGCAGAGAACGACACCAGCCATTGTACTCGCTTTTTGTTGATTTCATCAACGCATTTGATACGGTGAACCGCGAGGCATCGGGGCTGGTGTTGGGTAAGTTTGGTTACCTGCGTAAGTTTGTAAGTTTAATTGAATGTCTGCACAGTGGTATGCGAGTGAGGGTGCAGCTGAGTAGAGACCTCGGATGACTTTGCAGTTGTCACTAATGTGAAGCAAGGCTGTGTCTTAGCTCCTGCCCTGTTTAATATATATCTTCATGCAATGTCTTGTGCTTACGGTGTTCGTGTGGAGCACCGTATTGATGGTGGGTTGCTGAACACCTGTCGTCTCGGTGCGAGAACTCTAGTCTGTGAGACAACTCTCCGTATGTTGCTGTTTGCTGACGACTGTGCGTTGTTTTCACACAGCGCGGATGAGTTGCAGCACATGACTAGTGCTCTGGCTTCGACAGCGACCAAATCCGGGCTCACCATCAACACAAGCAAAACTGTCTGTCTGTTTCAGCCTTCACCGGAGGTGCATCTTCAATATTGCCGCGAATCAATATTGGTGCTGAAGTATTGGAAACCAACTCCCGCTTCTGCTACCTTGGTAGTGTGATGTCGACTGACCAGCGGCTACACAGTGGGCTTCGCATCTGCGCATCGAAAGCAGCAGCGGCATTCGGAAAGCTAGAATACCGAGTGTGGAACAACCATCAGCTTACCATTGGCACGAAGCTGATGGTGTACAAATCCATGGTGCTGTCCGTTCTTCTATACGGCAGCGAAACGTGGACGATGTGCCGGCGAGATGTGCGACATCTCGAGCGGTTCCATCAGCAGTGTTTGCGACGGATTCTGCGCATCACTTGGGGAGACAGAGTTGCGGACACGGAAGTGTTGAGTCGAAGTGGAATGTATGCAGTGGACTGCATACTTTTGCTGAGACACCTGAGGTGGCTCGGTCATGTGAGCCGTATGGATTCGACGCGGATACCGAAACAACTCTTATATGGTCAGCTGAGTATTGGGAAGCGGCATGCGGGGAAACAAAGTTATGTTACCAGGAAGTGATCAAAGTAAGTCTCTCACGTTCTAATCTTGATTGCAGGTCATAGAAATCGAAAGCAGCTGATCGGCGTACATTGCGAGATCCGATCACGAAGGCAGTTGCCGAAGTGCGGAAGAAAGACCTTATACAAGCAGAGAAGAAGCGGCAAGTGCGGAAGCGGCAAGCGCCGATGGATTGTACTCCATCGACATCGAGCGCATGGTGCTGGAGTACAAGCAATCGCGAGTGCCTGAGTCAGGCAGACCTAGTGAGCCATGAGCGAGGCCACTCGGGACTAGTACCGAAGCGACGACGGGTCCTGCAGAGAAGGTAGGCAGAATCGGCGCAGCGTTTGTAGGTACGCTGCAATTGATTTAATAACCGTTTGCTTGTATGATGGGTCTTTTATTTCAGGTGGTGGGTTTGCTATGTCTCCTTAATGTCTACCTGAACTACTTTCTATTAACTTGCACACGTCGCCCAAGTCGATTGTAGTTAAGTTTAATAATATTTTCCCGTTTGTAAGACTTTCTTATAATATATTTTCTGACGACTTGTACATATAGCGAATTTTTTGGAAACCAATTTATTTCATATGCTCGTATGTTGTGCCCCTTGCTGAGGCTGATATTGCATTCATGATGCTTCCCCAGCGCAGTTGGGCTAAACCAACTTACACTTAAACTAGGTCTTTTTAAGCCGGATAACTCTCATTCCACTTTCAATGGTTTGTTCTGCCGATCTGAATAATCCTCTCAACTTGTACACGTTGCGTACGCCAATTGCGCTTATCTTCGCTAACTGTTGCGTTTGTAGCATTTTTTGAATAACTTCTGGACATTTTGTACTTATCGCGGATTCGTTGCCAACCAACTTACTTCATACGCTAATTTAGCGAAAAGTTATGTCTGCACAGCTGTATGCTTTAACAGATTTATTTTATTTTATAATGTTATTTCAAGTGATTGGCTGTTGTTTGATATCCCCGGTGTGGATGCGCTTGATGTGAATACTGACTAGGTGCCTACCTCTCTTTTACCCACTACCTCGTCCATACTGGCTGCAGAAGACAGTTGGTCGTTGCTGGATGGGACGGGGTGCACGGTCCTTGTGGCCGTGCTAAGCTCGAAGAGGGGTTCCATGCAGTCAGTGTGGAGTGGACTACGGTTCAGTCACCGCCTTGTGTGCGCTTGATTCCAAATACAGCGTGCTTGTGAAGGAGTGTGGGCCGGCTCCGTTGATGAAATGTGACTCTCATCCACATGCCTCCCGGTGTTATTCCTTCGGGTTTACACTGGATATGGGTGTGTGGATGGAACTGTGGGTGGTACAGCGCAAACCACCCATGGTTCCTCTATAGGCGCAGGTGTCCTGTGGCTGGTCACAGTGACAGGCAAAGCCGAAACTGGATGCCGCCAACCATATATCGCTGGAGGGCAGAGTTTACAACGTAGCCATGCGTTCGATTCTCCTGCGTGGTTGTGAAACCTGGCCTCCCAGATCGACAGGTATAAAGAAGCTTGTCACGTTCGACCACCGCGCCTTAGCTCATGTCTGGCTGGAACCCGGCGGGAGCATTGAGCGGGTTCGGTGTCTCGCACTTGGCGCAGGAAGAGCGAGTGAACGGCCCAGCACCATGCTCCGAGGGCTAAGCAACGTGTTGCGCATGCCAGCACCGACTCAGTCGACGTGCGTTGTTTGCGCGACTGGAAGAGGGGGAGACGACGCAATGATTTGGTCGAATGAAGTCCTTCACCCCGAATTTGGCGTCAGCTGGTGTCTCCCAACTGCTGGACTGGGGTCCGAAGGACGACGAACACGTCTGGTTGGATACACTTGTTGATATGGCAAAGAACCGAACTCAACAGCGTTTATGTTGTATTTCTTCATCCCACCCATCCTGCTTAGCCTCACCCTCTAACCACGATCTCATTTCCAACGCACAATATTACATTATTCATTGGTTTTTGTTTTTTAATTCTGTATCGTGTAATAACTCGCCTTTTCATATATCCTATGTTTTGTATTGAAGCATAATAGCTGAGGTGTTTCTCAACTTTAGCTAATGTGCAATGATGATAAGATTGCGGCACATAAATTTGATTAAGATCGTGCGTTGAATTGGGGTCCCTGGGATTGTATTTGAATCGGACTCTCGTTCCCATCGGTATCACACACCATCACAACTGGCATTGGTCCAACTCGGGGTCACGAAGTGTTGCTCGTGAAGCTCGGTGCTTTGTGGTGAAGACATCAAAAAACGGAGCCTGACAGAGTGCGATAACCGGTCGCGCAGTGTAGTACTGAGAACGAAAAACATTCGGTGAACGAAATTATATCAGTGTTTGCTGGGGATACGGGCAGGTCTAAGAAGAATTAAAAAGTGGATAGCTAGAACGCAAACGGCACCACCGCACAAAACAGAACACTGGAAAGGCGTGCCACCTACTACAGCGATAAATGCAATGCGAAATGTTCGCGGGCGAAGATGTGCAAAAATCTGAACGTAGTGTGAGTGCACAATTCAGGCGGCGGCGGAACATCAGTGCGGCCAGCTGATCTGAAGATCCGTGGCGTAGAGTTTGACTCCACCGGCATTGCGATGATCAAGAAATGGGGATTGATTCACCGCAAGAACAGAGACTCAAAAGCACGTCAAAACGGGGGTTCAGAATCAGGTAGAAGCAACAAGTGATACAATTCGGAACCATACTGGGATGAAAGACAGGGCGAAGGCACTCACCGAGAGTAGTGACAAAATGCGAATGCGCATCCAGTGTTTTCTGACAACGTTTGTTTTTCAGATCCCACACTCGCACAGTTTTGTCGTCGGACGCAGACAACAAAAGTCTGCCTTTTGGATGAAAGACAAGTTGGCGTACCCAGTTGTCGTGGCCGATCTAGGCGAAAGAGTTGGGAATTTGCTGGAATTTGTGAACAAAGTAAAGCGATACGGACTTCAAACAAAACGAGTAACGAATGGTGTAGAGTAAATGGTTCGGTTCAGTACAGTTTAACAACTATGACCAGTGCACCGCAGTGCAGTGAGTCCCGTTGCCTCGACACATATTGGCATAATAATAATAATAATAATAATAACAATAATAATAAAGAGGAACGAACACGCTTAAATCGTCACATGAAACGGCCAGCAGTCCGAGGAGCGGGATCGAATGCAAGAGCGCCACTGACCCTGTGGTGTATGTCGAATGCCAGCGTCCAGAATGGCGATTATCGCCAATCTGACTCAGCATTCTAGTGAGTTCCTTCAAACACTTTCGCAAGGTTTCTGTTGATTGGCCATATCGAGGTTTTACATAATTAAGGGCAGTTTTCTCAAATAACACTCATTGCGACAACCGACTGGCAGGTACTCGATTCCCCAACGATGAGGTGCGTAGGCAAATGCCAGGTAATGACACCCAAGCTAGTTCCTTAGAACAACAGATAGCACTGGATAAGTTGTGTTGGTTTGGGGACGTGATACGTATGTCCGGTCACCACTTACTGAGGAGGGCTTTGTTTTCTTTGCCAGATGCAGGGAGCGTAAGGCTCGAGGTGGACAAAAGTTGACTAGACAGCGGGAAATGAAGACACTGACGACCAAACTAGGTGCCGTTGGTCCGTCTCGCCTCCAGGGCTGGAGTCCACGTGACTCGCCTTGTGCTTGGCTCGTGACTTTACAGAACATGGCTCGCAACGGACACCACTGGCACGTCTCCTACTCGGGCTGTCTGTTTAAAGTGTGTTTGGTGTGATGGCTGATTATGACGCAGGGCAGTGACAGCCGCAAGGATGCTATCTCGTTTATGCCGCCTTATGTTTGCATGATAGCCAGCTGTTTGTGACAATATGTTGTCTACACAAAGTGTAGATGTCTTGACTCTGAATGTTTGCTTAGGGCATTCAGGTTTTCCGATAAGTGCCCCTTCTCTCCCTACTAATATTCTGTGTTCCGTGGGTCGTTATGGTTGTACGGGAGCAAAGCACCAGTTCAAATTGCTGGTATACTGCTGTTGATGATAACAGTGGTGAGTCTAAGCACTCCTGCAACAATATCTTGTAAATTGAAGGTGCAAACACATACTGAAACGTGGTGCTACGTGTCAGGTCGCTTGGTAGTGCCTGCATAACAGCTGCGCCTGATCCACATCGAACTGATCCGCATATTCTAGGTTCGAAATCTGGCTGTCCAGCGAAAATCTACCCATGGGAGCGGATGAAGGCAGAAGAGAATAATTCCCGATCATTTCGATGACAAATCTGAATAGAACTGGAGAAATAAGGTAATGCTGAAGTAAACCATTTGTCGTGATAAGCTAAGTGGAGCATCCCGGAGACTTTTATACGAGTAAAAAGGATTCAGAAACGAGGAGTTTCTCAGCTCCACTCTGCAAAAACAAACACCATCACAAACAGGTGTGACCAACGGAGTCAAAGGAAATCTTAAGTAGAAGAATAAACGGAGAGTTGCGAGGTGCAAAGTGAAGAAGTATTAACTGGATGAGCCAAAATGTGTTGCGTAGAACAAGACAAACCGCATAAAATCACAAGTTTTTTTTGGATAGAAACTGATCTGGGGTGAAAGCATCAGAGTGAGAATTCGTGGAAGGCGGTTGTTACGTGAGAGAAGTATATGATTGTTTGTTTGATGTGAACACAAGCGGCTAAAAGGAAGATAGAATCAAAGATGTATCACGCAAGCAACGAGAAAAACAGAGTCCGGTTACGAGGGGAATAAAAACATGTGAAAAACCTACCAATTCACATAGACAAAGCTCAGTGTTGACGTCCCACAGACGGATAGAGCGATCGCGGGAGCCTGAGGCGAGGAGCAAGGTGGAGCTGACCGGATTGAGGACTGACGGGGAATCGGATTCAGATGCAATGCCATTTGGGATACTAGAGTTGAGAGGAGTGTTGGAGTTGGGATTACTCGAGGCGGCCGATGAGTCAGTGATGGCCAAAATGCTCTGCGGATGGGTGATCCATGCGATGCACTCAATAACATGGGAGTGCCCACGGAGGACCTTAAGACATTCGCGGGTTTCAACAGACCAAACACGAATGGTGCGGTCGTTAGAACAGCTCGCAAGAAGAGTGCCATCGAGGGAGGGTCGCACAGAACGGATCCATTCCGAGTGACCCGAGAATGTTTTGATGCAATAGCTGAAATACGTGGGGTGGAAGAACGCGGGTCAAAGTAAGTATCGATCGAGTAACAAGAAAAATAAGTGGTCAAGAGAGAATGGATTGAGGCATGTGCACCATCGCGCGAAAAGCCTTAATCTGATCGTTGTCCAAAGTAAGCCATCAGAAGTCTTAGGTAGACTCAAAGAATAGTGAAATAAGCGAAACATAGCCCCCTCAATCACAGTCGATGTGGAAGAAACAGATGTATTCTGCAAAGGCCCAGAAAAAGTTTCCAGCGAAAGAGTGACCGGTGCTGTCGTAATAATGAAGTGCTTGAGATCACAGTTCATGTGGGCGGAGTGTCGCACTGAATGGTAACGATTAATTCCCACGCTATCAGAACTAAAGGAGCCATGAAAATTACAATATTGCGGAATGCCTGCAAGTGCGACTGAGATAAGAACGATGCAAGCCACTCAAGATATCGGGAGAAACACATGCATCTGTCACGCGAAGATTGCACAACGACTTGGGAAAAACAGGGGTTCGCAATATTGCGGCTTAGAGCGAAATTCAAGACTACTGTCCGTATCGTTTTACCGTCAAGTTGGTGTATATTGTAGGCAAAGTTCTGCTGCATAACAATCAAATTACTGTTAATGTAGCATATTGGTCAGTCGAGCAACCAAATCTGGCTGATGGAGGGGCCAACATACTCAAATGAAGGAGGATTCGATTGGTGCACAGCTGAAGTTAATTTCATTATATATCTTGATGGAGGATAAAATAGGGTGCAAAATCGAAACTAGTGGTCCGTCCACCCACGATTAGAACAACTGTCAACTGAGTATTCTCCAATGACATCATCTTGTCACGAAACCGCACGCGATGGCATGCGGGTTGGAATGCTGCCAGCGGGACCAAAGCCGGGCTACGTAGGTGGAAAGAAATACGCCTCAAATTCCAACTTATAAACGATAGAAAGTGTGAAAAATTACGTCTTTTTATCTGAGCCAATCATCTAAACCCTGCTATATTATTGTAAAGAGCCAACAACTTCCTGTAGTTTAAATGCCAACCCTGACCTGAAGCTGTTGTGTCAAGGGCAAAATGTAGCCGTAATACAAGCCTTTCAACAACCGATTTATGCTCTAAACCTTCCGAAATTATGGATTCCAAGTCGGTTCCAAGTTTATTCCAAGATACTGAACCTTGGTCTGTGCCTACGACTCACGCATTAATGTGATTTAAGACATTGTCCCTTCATTATCTTACTCCGTTCAGGTAAGTCCATGCACCATCATCTCCCGTAGCTCTGTCATGTTTGCCCTTTCATGTCACCTAGCCTCTTTTATTACAAACGCCGCTGTGCGTGTCCAATGTGGCGTTTCGTAAGTGGAGCACTCCCTGACCCTTTTCGATCGCTTACACAGTAATCCACGTGCAACCTATGCAGTGATCTCGTTCGCACACATACACGTACAATGCGGTGCGCCCTGTGGCTTTATTGCGGCTATCGGGTCCTAATGGTTCATGTCTTACATAAACACGTCTCGATGAAGTGCAGTTATTTGCAACAATGTTGACTGAAGCCCAATTTGTTGGCCTTTGAGATGAAGTAATAATAATAGTAATAATAATAATAGGTATATTTCTAATCGAGTGAAAAACGGTAGCCATATTTGGCACAGATCATATTTTACAGGATATGTCAAGTTCATGCATGAATGGTAAACCGTTGTGTCAGTTGCATTGTTTTTGCTGTTTCAACGGCTTGTATTCACTCACAGGTGTATTTCAACGCAGCGTGCACTAGTTGGAATAGTGGATGGTAACAGCAATAGGAGTATCACAGTGTGAAGAAGTATTTTTGTTTCACTCATCAGATAGTGTCTGAACCTTTCAAGTGATATCTCCCAAGAGAACAGGGTCATAATCTTGCTCAAGTCTAGGTAAGTGGTGTGTTTAACGCGAAAGGCCGTTGCGCTCTCACATGATCTGATTGTGACTGGGAGCTTATTCCACAGAACAGCATACCCGATTAGGAAGAAGTTAGACCGCAGATTTACCCTGCACCTGGGTATACTCAGGGTGAACTTATTGCGTAGATCCCTTGTCGAACCATGTTGTAGTTCTAGGAAGGGAAAATAGCAGTGGGCGTTTTGATAAAGCATATTGTACAGATTATGTCTCAATCTTCGTAGCCAAAGGTGATCGATCTGGAATCGTTGGCAGCGCTCCCGATAGTTCTTAGTAGATATTTTGCCTAGCAGACGTTTGATAAATGGCCTTGATATACTTTCCAGAGATACTCTGTCAGATTTCCCCATAGTGCCACAAATGATACTGCAATCTTCCAAAATGGGGCGAGTGAGTATTTTAAAGAGTTTTACTCTGTCTGGGGTTATGTGGATCTTATGCAGTATGGTAGCCATTGATTTTCTGGCCCTAGCCAGCTGGTGTTCCACAAGTTAGGAAAAGTTGAGGATGCAAGAATACCTGTTGGCATTGAACACACAGCCATCGAGGCTAATATTGTTTTTATTGTTAACGTATTGTAAATAATGCCGTTATTCTGTTTCCGCCTTGTTTCTTGATATCTCACTTACAAAAATACCCACACCAGATGCTACTATGTGGAAAATTAAACAAGCGATCAACTCTGTTTCTTTAGGTGTTATTGACATGTGAATGACAGAAATTCTTGTGGACAAACAAAAGAAGTATACTCGAACGGAAAAGACCTATGCAAAAGAACTATGTAGGCGAATGAGAAGTATCATGAAACATGTTCAAGGGCCGAAGAACATTACAATTAAGGCAACAGACCAGTTAATACGCATTTGCATTAGACCCAACGTGGAATTGGAACACAATGCAAGGACAGTCCGGAACATTTAGAACAAACCTATGGTAGATTACACCATCTCGGGTCAGCGATGCGTGTGGCTGTGACGAGCAACTGAGCACTGTGACTCAGTTCGCCACGTGAGAGGAAATGTGTACCACACTAAGCTGATGTAGGCGGTATGCCAAAAATGGAAAGCAGACAGCTTGCACATAGACAGGCCTGGCTACACAAATGCGAAAAGCACACTACAGGCCAACTTCAACAGCTCAGCAAGTGGTATGACTCGGATCGATAGAAAAGACCGTAAACCAAGCGTCAATGAGAAGGAACAGGATCGTGCAAATACGAAGCGAAAAAAATGAGCCGCAGATGTGTGAAATTATGCGGAAGAATGCAAGAGACATTGCAATGGCTTAGACAACATTGGTGGAGCAGGTTAAAACACAAGCCCAAATAAAAGACATTAACCGAAGGCAAACACCGCAGGGTCGCATGAATATCAAACCAAAAGCGTGAACGCTCGAAACGTATGGCTTCAACACGACACGATCATCAACAACACAACGGCATTCTGTGCTGGTCCGTTGTTTTCGCTCAACATGAATGGTACTATATAGAAACAGTGATAGGGTGTACAGACCTGGGCGAGATGACACTTGGCAACGGCATAGTGACTAGCATTTAAAGGGACAGATGGCCGCAGAACAACCAGTACTTTCTGCCGAGTGATGGAGTAAGTTACGGTATTTTGGAGTTTCCAGTATGTGTACGGGGAATAACCTGCTTAACTGCATGTTTACATGGGATTGATCGGATGAGAATTAGTGGGTTACTGACTCACCCAGTGGAGACTTCCCACATTTTGATGGTTTTGTCACGACTGGCACTGACGAGGAAATCGCCGGATGGTAAAAAGGAGACACTTGACACATTGTGATCGTGACCAGCGAGCGTTTTTATGCACTGATATAGCGTGAAATCCCACAGCTTCACTTGCATGTCAGCCGAACAGGAGACCAGAAGCTTTCCACTCGGGTCGAATGCGACATCCTGGACTGAATCCGTGTGTCCTTTAAGGGTCTGCTCGTATTCGCCTGTCTCATAGTCCCATACCTGAAAATGTGTGAAAATGGAACCAATATCTTGCCCTGATCGAGAAGTCGTGATTTCAAAGGGGCATGAAAAACAAACAGTTGATATTTCCGATTAGTAACGTTTCACTTTTGACGCAAATGTTGTTCAGGTCCAATAAACTTGTATATAATTGGCGTGATATCTATAGAAAAATAGAAAAGGATACCCAGGGCACACAAGGGCTGTGACAGAGAGCAACCAACTCTAGAGGTCGGTGTGTCATCTCCAGTACTACGCCAAGGGAAGGGTCCTACTTAGCCATGGTCACGAGGCGAGTACTTTGTTGCACATCCAACGTTTGTCGTGAGCATCCTTCCAATATGCTATAAACATCACTCGGTTTTCGTACCAAAAGTGAGACGTCGTCAAATAAAATACTAACCGATTGTTTTTCAAACGCACGCGAAATCAACAGGGATACTTTAACGGCGGAGTCAAAACAGGAAAAGAGGCATTCGAGTGAAGGCCTCTTCCAAAAGCTGCAAATGCGGATACTGGAAAGAAATGACTGAGGATGATGAATGCAAGGAGATTTGGCGTCCAAATGGCATCAGTCAGTCGATCGTTTGCACCTAGCTCCTGATTGTTCGTCCTGATCAAGTTTGCCTGCTCTTATTTCTTGATCCACTTCAGAGTTTCACATTCCTACCATCTGTCGTATCGCTGTTGATTATTAGTTTCGCGACGTAAATCACGGTAACTGGATCCAAATTAGCTAAATGCTCGGATCGTAGTTGCCCAATTAAACTGAAGTGATAACCCCCAGTCAGAAATCGTGGTGATATAAACCTAAGTTGAGCTGCAACAAAACTTCACAGTTGTTGTACTGGACTACTTGGGTGGAATGGACACACCCTTTTAACTAAAAACGAAATGATAACATAGTAACTGTCGAGATGTTCGAAAATTATGTGAGGTTGAAACTTCCAACAGCTCAAGTGCGCGCAAGTAAGTGCCACCAGGTTGGTGTAGCTGACGCAAATGTGAAAACTGATGGCGTGCAGGAACAGGATAGGCGTCCAGCGAGCCCATTGGCCGAAGGGATGAGGCGTCTGCCTCGTAACCACCCAAAGGGAACCGGTTCAAATGTGTGCACGACCTCGGAGTATCCCGAGCCGACGCGAAGCTGCTGATGGTCACGTAGCAGTGAAAGGCCGATGCAGTGCGCTGGTGTGCTACTGACCGGAAGCCACTAGTGATAACAGTACCACAACTACTAGGCAATGAGGCTAGTAAGGCCAAGAGTGGACGATGGCGAGGTGGAATCTGATTCCAGCTCTGAATGGCTCACCAACTGAGATGGAGAAGTCATGCACAGATGGTGTTAGTTTCGGATGGCTTGCCGAACTACCTACTCGTGATGACAGCTGGGTGGTTCGGGTGTACCCCGTTCCAGCAAAGTGTTCGGCGACAATGTCCCACCTCGGTGGGCCATTATATTCCAGCAATTGTGCTGATTTCATGGAGAGTATTGGCTCCCTGTTTGGTGATCTACCAAACAAAAGACGCACGAACTGAACATCCAGTCAGCGTCTCCCAATGGGCCCGATTCCGTAAATTCGCCCCGTTGCCTTGCGGGTAGGTTATTTAGCCAAAGGCTCGACTTGGACAACCATGGACTATACTATAACGTGCTCATTAGCTACTGTTTCTGCTTCTCACATTCACGCGACTTCTTCACACGCTAATTGATCGTTTGCCAACAATCCTCACTTTCCGTTACCCGATTCATGTATGCAACAATCTGGCTGCGATTCCGGTTGAGCCACAGACCAAGGAGTTCAACCTACGGCTCTCCATCGTTCCCGATCCTCGTTCTGTCTGGCGTGCTTCAACGTTCGGACACTTATGCAGATAGGACAGCAAGCCAGTCAAACGCGCACCCTAGAGTCCCTTGACATTGATGTCTGTTGCCTTTCAGAAACCCAGGTGCAAGACCCCAGCAGTGCGCTTACATTGACATTCCTCAGTGATCAAGAAGCCAGATATCATCTGCGTCTTTCTGGAGATCCAGAAGCAGCCTCAGCGGGTTTGGCTGATGTAGGTATAGTACTAAATGGCAAGGCTGAGGCGGTACTACTGGACTGGTTCCCGATTAACAGTCGACTATGTGCAGTTCGGCTTCGGCGCTCACGTAGAATCAATAACCACCGCGAAGAGACGCAACTTGTTTGTGATCTACGTGTACACTCCAACTGACTGCAGTGGCGACTCAGTCAAGGAGAAAATCCTCCGTTACCAACCTCAGCTCTTGACTAATTCTAGACAGTCGGATGTCCTTATCCTTGCTGAGAATTTTAACGCATAGGTTGGCCGCGTCTTACCATACGAACAACACCTTGGTAGTCATCACGCGCTCGATGACAACCGCTCTGATAAAAAAGAACGGCTTCACACATTGTGCGAAGACAACCATCTGTCTCTCTCGAGCACTAACTTCAGACGTATGAAGAAGCGTTCCGCAACGTGGCGTCCCGATTCACCAACATATTCGTGGTCCCAGAGTGACCACATTATAATTAGTTTCAGATGGCGCGGCAGCGTACTGGACTGCAGGTCCTTTTGGTCCACCTTCGTTGACTCAGATCATGCACTGGTCTGCGCGAAAATCTGCATGTGTTTTAGGGGGTCCCGAAACATGAAGCACCACATGATTGATGTAAACAGATTAACTAATTCCTCTGTCCAGGTGAGATATCAGCCTTCACCGGCATACGCACACAGATGCAATCCACCGCAAGAGGTGGAGCAACACTGGATTTGCAAACGGAAAGCGATGACCAATTCCGGACAGTCAAGCTGCGGCCTAACTCGACGCCCCCTAAAGTCTTGGATCTCTGCTCGTTCTCTGGAGCTGTTCAAACGTCGCAAAGATATCCCCGCGGAACCAGATTGCAACGACCGCCGCCGTTCTGCCAATCGACTGCTCAAGCAAAGCCTACGCAAGGATCGCGAGACATGGTAGTCTGAGCGTGCTTTAGAGATGGAGACCGCTGTCCTCTCTGGCAACACTCGCAAGCTTTTCCAACTCATTCGGTCCACTGACCTCAGAAAGCCTGACGTCAGTGATTATTTGCGAGGTGGATGAGTCTCCGATTACCAATCAACAGAGACGTATGGACCGCTTGGCCGAGCACATTCACTCGCAGTTCAACTGGCCTCCCCCATCCATCAGTATATGCAATACACCTTGTTGTCCACCCTGGCCCATCTCACTGAATCCACTCAGCGAAGCGAAAGTCTGCCTCGAGATTCGACGCTTGAAGCGGTTCAAGGCTGCCGGCTCAAAGGGACTTCCTCCGGAGCTGTTCAAGTAAGGCGGTGTGGCGATCATTAACCAGCTGACCGCGCTGTCCGCAAAAATCTGACATGAAGAGAAAGTGCCTTCCTCTTGGGGCGAATCAATTATTGTCCCGATTTTCAAAAAAGGCGTTCGCGCCATCAGTCTTATTTCGGTTGCTTCCAAGCTATTGGTATCCATTCTGCTTCGCAGACCATCCCCAGTAAATGAATCACACTACCGTGAAGAACAAGCTGGTTTCCGTCCCGGCCACGGATGCATGGATCAAATATTCACGCTCCGCCAGCTCCTCGAACATCGCCCCATTTATCACAGGCCCACTATCGTTGCATTCGTAGACATACGTACCGCTTTTGACTCCGTTGATCGACCTGCTTTACGGCATTGCTTGCTAAAGAACCGGGTGCCAGAGAAATATACCGACATCTTCCCAACACTTTACCTTCATACATCAGGCAGAGTGAGGGTGTATGGCAAGCTTTTCCTCGCAATTCGCTGTCAATAGCAGTGTGCGGCAGGGCTGTCCTATGTCCCCATTCCTCTTCAACTTCGTAATCGAAGACGTTCTGTCGAATGCTCTAGAAGATTTCCAACATTTTGGCCTAGTGCTTCTACCGGGTGAGCGCGCGACTGACTTAGATAATGCTGATGATATCGCCTTACTTTGTGACGATCCTCAGGGTATGCAACTCATTCTGGATCGTTTGGCGATTGAAGCATCTAAGGATGGCATAAGCTTCGCCCCATCGAAGTGTAAAGTACTGCTCCAGGATTGCCTTACAATTACTCCCGTGTACACTTTCGTAGGTGCACGACCTGAACAGGTAGATAATTTCGTCTACCTTGGGAGCTCTGTTTCTGCTGACGGCACTATGAACAAAGAAGTTTTTCTTCGCATCGCTAAAGTCCGATCAACATTTGCCTATGCTCCAACTGAATGTAGTCCAGATACCGTCAAGGACTAAGTCTATCAGAACCTTCATGATTTGCTCTTAAAAGCCCCCAAAACGGACATCATTATTATTGCGGGGGATTTCAATTCGCGTGTTGGCCGTTTGTTACCAAGCGAACGCCATCTTGAGACCCACATGGATACAACTTTCGCTTAGACAATAGTGAAAGACTACTCAGTTTGTGTGCTGTCCAACAACTTTACCTCTTCAACACGAATTTTCGCCACCTTAGACGTCACTATGCTACGTGGCACGCTCCATCATCTCCTCAATGTTGGTCACAGATTGACCACATCACCATAATTCATCGCTGGCGTGGCGGTATTCGGGACTCTACATAATATTGGTCAACATGCGTGGAAACTGATAATGCGCGAGTGCGTGCGTCGGTTTGCATGCGTTTCGGTGGCTCGCCTAGAATTAGATAAGTTCGAATTAACTCTGGTAAACTGGAAGACCCCGCCATGCAATTGGAATATCAAAAGTAGCTTCGGGAGAGCCTCAGTTCTCCGCCTCCTCGGGATGTTGATCAGCATTGGTCGCGATTGCAACAGATTATGTTTTCAGCGGGTTTATCCAGTTGCGGAATTGTTAGTTACACAACTAAAAGTTGGGCCTCGGCCACCATCGCGGAACTTCCCGACTGTGGGCGGGCTACATTCATCAGTGTAGAGCACACTGAACTCCGTCGTTCTATTTCCGGACAACTGTAAGTGAGTCTTCGC